CAATTTGATGAGTGGTCTGTCAAAGTAAGTGAGTTGGTTTTATGCCGCATTTAACAATACTGCAGCAACATCATGGCGAGGGACTCAAGAAATGGGCTTCACATATTGTACCCATGTGAGGAATTCACTCACTCACTCACTCACTCACTCACTCACTCACTCACTCACTCACTCACTCACACACACTCACACACACACACACACACACACACACACACACACACACTCACTCACTCACACACACACACACACACACACACACACATACACACACTATTGGAATACATCAAATATCAGATTAAATTATAATGGGATTATTGTCCACTGCTTGATCATTGTATTCCAGTATTGTAGTTTTGCATATTTTAACATGGAATACATAATGATATCATATACTACCATAAACATAAGCAAACAAATGATGAAAACGTAGGTACACATGCATTACACCAGACATCTGCCGACCATATTGGAGGTAGCTGCAAATAATAGAATATGGCGGAAGGTGTCCAGTGTAATGCATTCTTAACAATAAACTATCAGTGAAGTGTGTTTACAAAACAGTGGTATTGCATCTGAAAGCTGAATCTGATCACAGTGGACCTTCACAGCATGCATGAAGTGTGTGATGTACATTCACCCAGAAGCCTTAACATGCATCGACCGTGAAGATCCGGGTTATAATTGGTCTTCAGCAACCCCTAACAGGTGGTCAGGCTCGCTGACTTGGTTAACACACGTCATCGTATCCCATTGCGTAGATTGATGCTCATGATGTTGATCACTGGATTGTCTGGTCCAGACTCGATTATTTACAGACCGCCGCCATATAGCTGAAATATTGCTGAGTGCGGCGTTAAACAACCAACCAACCAATTTGAGTCTCTACTGGTAAACTCACGATCAGAATCATCACCTTGCCAGATTATTGTGATTTTTCAACTTCCCTCAAGTGTTGCATAACTTTAACAATTTGACATGGAGACTCCATGATTATGATTGTTAAGCAGCTCTCTAAATGCATTACTTTGTAAATATTAATGTAACATATGGTAAATATGGCTAAATATTCATTTCGTTCCGTATGTACAACAGGATTTTCTCCCAAAAGTCTGTGATTTTTTTCGGTTTGTGTCACTGTGTACCCTTGTAACCGTACACATATAAATGAAACCAAAGCCCAGATATTGAATGAATTGTTAATCAACTCACAATATAGCGTATATATGTAACCATGTTGTAAATTCACACTGGCATGGTTTGTTGTTGGAAGTAGGAGTCCTGATGTTGGCACAATCCCATTTGTAGCTTATGTAAAGTCGATCAAATCATTGCTTGCGTTTGTATGATCGCAATGTTCGGTCGTTACAATCTGGTAAACAAACAATGAAAGTTTGTAGTTACATTTATCCTGGCAATTTTTTATAATTGACAATCTCACTCAATAAAATTTCAAGTGATTGGATTTTTGTCTAATTACTCCGGTTAGGCCTTCCATGAATAATTCTTATGCATCTGTGATGACAGACTTGTATTTTGTGACGATGTGTTGTTTTGTTTGTATTTTATGAACAATACTTTTCCTATGCCTGTGAAGATCAATGCCTGTGAATTGATCCTCAGTAACCCATGCTTGTCATAAGAGGCGACTAACAGGATCGGGTGGTCAGGCTTGCTGATTTCGTTGACACATGTCATCGTATCCCAAATGCGTAGATCAATGCTCATGCTGTTGATCACTGGATTGTGTGGTCCATACTCGATTTTTTACAGACCGCATCCATATAGCTGGAATATTGCTGAGTGCGGCATAAAGCTAAACTCACTCACACTGATATAGGAAATACTAGATGTTGCTTTATTGTGACAATTAAATCAAGAAGCTCAATTACTGCAGGCATAATGCCCCATACAAATTTAAAACAGCCAGCTTGACATGAAATCCACTGGCTGACTAATCAGGTACTTCTTTCAAACAATGATATCGATACTTGTTCTCTATCAAGATTGAACTTTCTTTTTGTTGAACCATGATCGCCCCCTGGGGTCTCTGGGATGATACTGTTCCCCTGACACTTGTTTCTCAGTCTACCGATGACTGGATCATCCAATTCCATGTCCCTGTAATTTGAGTGTCATCATGTACTGATGATGGCATGGGTTAGTGCCCATGCTTTCAAGCACTGGTTTGGTTGGCTGCCTTGAGTTGCTGACTGTTGTGACTGGGTTGAAAAACTTCTATGGTATTGATTCCTTCACTGATGCTCTCCATCTGGCAGTGTGAACCAGTAATGAGCAGTGTCAAATAGCTGCCTTGTCGGTGTCTCATGTAATATATGACACTCATAATCTTGTTCACCCATAGTCTTTCTAATTACTTATTATATTTTCGTTTTGTCCAATTTCAATCAAATAGGGAACACAAAAATCATTTATGTGTCATTCATACAAGATTAAAAGATTGATCATCTAAGGTATTAAAAGCTAAATGGTTTGAGCAGAGTTATGTACCTTAGTCATGCAAGGATCCACTGGGTTTGATGCCCATATTTGTTCTGATTGTGAAGCTTTGTGTGTCAGCACTTGAAGAGTTTTTTACAGATGTAGATGTCCTTGAGCTGCATCACGTTTTGTCCTCCTTCCCCCACATTTAGCTGACACTGTAAGATAATACTGGCTGGAGAGATCAATAAACAGGGAAAAAATTGATGGGAAGAATTATTAATGATTATCAATACGACAATTGTGTCATGATAATATCTTAGATACACTGATATGATTAAATACAGTCTTTGTCCAGTTTGTAAAACCTTACTAGATCTCTTATTTAACTCTTCCTCAGTTATTAAAGATGCAAAGTTCTATCTGTATTTAGAATACAGTGTTCGTTAGTAATCCATGCGTATGTGTGTCTCCATTTACTCATCAGGGCGGTGGGGTAGCCTTGTGGGTAAAACGTCGCTCGTCACACCAAAGACCTGGGTTCGATTCCCCACATGGGTTTAAATGTGTGATATTGCTGGAACATTGCAAAAAACTGCATAAAACCAAATTCACTCACTCACTCATCACTTTCTTTCAGACTTTTCTTAAAAAATAGTCTCAAAGTTACTTCTGTGATATTTTTCCATAATCAATTGAGATCTAGTTTAAGTAGTTAAGGATTATTGATCACTTTGATCTATATTGATAGCCATTCCTGATCATTGTAAAACCAAACTCAATTATACATTATGTTGATAGTCTGTATGAGAAAAAAACAGCCAAATATATGCAGGATTTGCCTTTTGTCCAACACACATTTGAATGTTTTCTTTCAATTATGATGAGTAAACATCGTAAAATGTACCCAGGGATACAGACAAGAATATATGTCCCCAGCTGCCCTTGCCTCCCAATGGGCAACTGTAGGATTGAGTGGTTAGGTTGGGTTGGTGAATGTCTCCTGTAGTGAATATTGATGCTCAATCACTGGATTGTCTGGCCCAGATCGGGGCGGTGGGGTAGCCTAATGGTTAAAGCGTTGGCTCGTCACGCCGAAGACCCGGGTTCGAATCCCCACATGGGCACAATGTGTGAAGCCCATTTCTGGTGTCCCCCTGCCATGATATGCTGGAATATTGCTAAAAGCGGCGTAAAACCAAACTCAGTCAGTCAGTCAGTCTGGCCCAGATCAATTCACTTTCCAGACCACCATCTAATAGTTAGAATATTTCTGTCTGCATCATTAATAATAAATATATAATGAATAAGGTGTGAACAATATTTGATATTCCGTCCTTGTTACTTAAATGTGGACTTCCTTGTTCAATGAAACTTGAATGAAGACAGCGTGACACTGCCTGAACATTGATTAGATTTCTTGTAAGAATAGCGGCATCAGATCTTACTCCGTTTCTATCATTTCAACATCTGTACTGTTTAGCATCCAGTGGAAGGAAGCAGATTACATGTACATCCATTCCTCAAATTTATCAGTGGAAAGAAACATTTGGCAGGATGCAGTATTCTGCATCTGGGAAAACTCTGAATATGTTTCATTTTTCCTGTATGATGGAGTGATGTGCTTGTCTTACATTGTCAAACTACTTGTACAGTGGATGTGTAATGTGTCTTCTCTTCCAGTATGTTGCAGTGATGTGCTTAATTGACAAACTTTATGGATAACAACTTCTCTATTACGAGAGTGTGACGTTTCTTCCAGTATGATGCAGTGATGTGCTAATCATACATCGTCACGCTAGCTGTACACTGTCTATGTAATGTGACTTCTCTTCCAGTATGATGCAGTGATGTGCTTGTCTTACACCGTTATGCTAGCTGTACACTGTCTATGTAATGTGACTTCTCTTCCAGTATGATGCGGGGCGGTGGGGTAGCCTAATGGTTAAAGCGTTGGTTCGTCATGCCAAAGACCCGGGTTCGAATCCCCACATGGGCACAATGTGTGAAGCCCATTTCTGGTGTCCCCCGCCGTTATATTGCTGGAATATTGCTAAAAGCGACGTAAAGCTAAACTCAGTCAGTCAGTCAGAATAACTTTATGGATAACAACTTCTATTACTTAGAGTGTGGACGCTTCTTCCAGTATGATGCAGTGATGTGCTAATCATACATCGTCACGCTAGCTGTACACTGTCTATGTAATGTGACTTCTCTTCCAGTATGATGCAGTGATGTGCTTGTCTTACACCGTTATGCTAGCTGTACACTGTCTATGTAATGTGACTTCTCTTCCAGTATGATGCGGGGCCGTGGGGTAGCCTAATGGTTAAAGCGTTGGTTCGTCATGCCAAAGACCCGGGTTCGAATCCCCACATGGGCACAATGTGTGAAGCCCATTTCTGGTGTCCCCCGCCGTTATATTGCTGGAATATTGCTAAAAGCGACGTAAAGCTAAACTCAGTCAGTCAGTCAGTCCAGTATGATGCAGTGATGTGCTTGTCTTACATCGTCATGCTAGCTGTACATAGATGTGTAATGTTTGTCTTCTGTTTCAGCTACCATGTTCCTCAACACTCTGACCCCAAAGTTCTACGTAGCACTAACAGGGACGTCATCTCTCATATCTGGGCTGATATTGGTAAGCTATAGAACAGAAAGATTTGCATCAACATACCAGTGTAGGAAAGATAGCCCGTCCCAACGTCCGAGACGGGTGAATTTTGTGGAGGACGGGTTAAAAAAATATCTAGTCCGTCCTCATGTCGGGTCAATTTTAGCAAATGACAATATATGACATATATATAATGATTATAACCTTTTTGAATATTTACTGCTGAAGGTGTTTTATTTATATTTGGAGGACAGGCTAGATTTTGGCAGGACTGGTAAAAAATTTGACCTGCCAGTCCTGTGGACAGGCTAGATTTTCTACATCTTTCCTACACTGAACATACTCTCTTTTCATTTACACAAGGTTTATGGACTTTATACTTCCCATCCATACATAGTCAGAAGAAAAAGATTACCAATTTCATGTGATTCTGGAAAGAATTTTCAGACAAATGAAATGAGGGAAAAAATCATTTCCTAAGTTGTCTGGGCAGAGAGGAAATACGTTTCTATTTAGGTCCACATTATTGAAAGTGTTTGGAAGGTCCATGAATGTCTAGCTGAAGCCATTCTGAACTAGAGTCACCCTGGGCACAATTCTTTACGTCGTCTTTGAGTCAAACCCGAAGACCAGAGCTCTAGAATCGCTGTGTATTTGCATACAAACTGCAAACTATATCTAAATAACAAATTTTGAGATGTATGTGGACTGGACCCAAGAGAGTAAAATGCATTGAATGCGTAAAGACTGTTTGCAAGAACAAATATGTCCTCAAAGAGTCTAAGACCTTAAGGAAAATGAAATACTCTCTTTGCACGAGGGCAGGCCATCTTCATTGAATGAAGGGACGGTGGGGTAGCCTAGTGGTTAATGTGTTCGCTCGTCACTCCAAACACCCTGGGTCTATTCCCCACATGGGTACAATGTGTGAAGCCCATTTCTGGTACCCCTGCCATGATATTGCTGGAATATTGCTAAAGCGGCATAAAACTGATCTCTCTCATACTCATTCAGTCACTCGCATACTCACTTATTCACTCACTCACTCACTCACTCGCATACTCACTTATTCACTCACTCACTCACTTATTCATTCACTCTCTCGCATACTCACTTATTCACTCACTCACTCACCTCACTCACTTAAACCCTTGACCTTGACAATCTGTCTACCAAAGATTTGTCTGACCTGTGTGTTTGTTTTCAGTCTGCTTGAGTTTGAGATTGAGGTTTGAGTTCTTAAGGCATATGTGATATTTGCTGTTTTTCATATACTCACTGTGCAAACAATTAGATGATATTTGGTTTTATGGTAAGACTACCAGAACATAACACTAATGTCTGGCAGTGAAAGTAAGTGGTTTATGTGGCAAGAACATTCCCGAAGAAATCAACTTCCTGTCATCACTGTGTTAGTCATAAGGGACGGGACTACCTAGGGATGATGTTGCTGATTTACTGCGGTCCTTGTTTTCATGAAACAAGATGTTCAAAGACATTTCATTAAAAACATTTAACCATTACCGAAGTAAAATATTGATCATGTGATGTTTGCAACATGCTGAACATGTACAAGCAGTGGGTGTGTTGCAGGTGGGCACATGTATGAATATTGTTGCCCAAACTTTGCATGCTTCCCAGTCTGTTGTCTCGGATTGTGGGCCCCGATACCAACAAACAAACGTCAGTGTTCGATGCTGGTCTGGACACACAAGGGCAACAACAGATTAGTCAGAACAGTGACTTTAGGCAATGAGTTGCAAACTGCCACTCAGATGAGAGACTGGCTGGAACAGGCAACTGGGGGCTGCCCATATCGTGGATGTACACAGATTGCACTTGTGTTCATGATATCCCTGTGTTATAGCATGATATCTGTGTGTTATAGCATGATATCTGTGTTATAGCATGATATCCGTGTGTTATAGCATGATATCCATGTGTTATAGCATGATATCCATGTGTTATAGCATGATATCCGTGTGTTATAGCATGATATCTGTGTTATAGCATGATATCCGTGTGTTATAGCATGATATCCGTGCATTATAGCATGATATCCGTGTGTTATAGCACAACTTAATGATCATCATTTGAATCAGAGGCATCTGTGATGAAGGGAAGGTCAGCACTGGACAACGTTAAGTGAGTGAGATGTTTTCTGTGAATGAAGGTTCACTCACTGTTTCATAGCCAAAGGAAGACGTTTGGAGATGTTTTACAGAGCATTTTATGAATATTAACCTTGGTGTGATTTTTTTTGGTGTTGGTCCATAGTGGTAACGGGTTGTATCACAATGACTGGTCCAACTGCAGTCCATATTGTCCATGCCACCAACTACAGGGACTACATCATTGCACTAATCCTGGTGCCATTTGCACAACATGTCAAGAATATATGCATGTGCTCATTGTGCCAGACTTTTTTACCCAATTCCTGCAACAGTAAAACACCAATGTTGCTATGGCCAGCACACAGTCCTGAACATTTGCCCACAGAACACATGTGGGCCATCACTGGCAGACGTGCATGTCAACGTCACGATCTTGAAGAACAGGGTGCTACTCTCACTGATGTGGAACAACTTGAGTCAAGATGACCCCGGTCGACTCGACTGAAGCAGGCCTCAAGGAATATGTTCATGTCTAGCCATCAGGGATGTTTTGCCCAATGTTAATGATGATAGCTTCAGAATGCAAATTTCAAATTTGACCCCAACCTCTTTAACGAGGTGCGCCACCATCTTATCAGTCCAACCATTAGAACCCATTAGATCTGATCGATGATTCCTCAGCAGATATGATCATATCAATTCCATTTATCAAAACTATATGGATAGGATATGTCTTAATGATTTCCACTATCCCTTACGTTTTTCGCATAGTCCATCTAGGCCTGTCCAGCCCTTGTGTAAACCATATAGACATTAGAACAAAGAGACCATTAATGTAACCCAGTTGACCACTAGTACTGACAGTAGGTTATCAAGGCCATATATTTGTTTTCAACTTGTTTACAACACTGACTCACAAACATTGTTAAGAATCGAAATGGCATGTGAAAAAACACTTGATGTCGGACTGTTTTACAATTAAATGAAATAAAAAACAACATATTTATCACAGCTGTATGTGAGAAGTGTGTTTCAGTTTATCTTTCAGTATCATGCCATGGTAAAACCATGATCAGTGTCAGTGCTATTGAGAGAATTTAAGGTCCAAATTTGTTAAATCAACTAAAAAATACTAAAGATCAAACAGTTAGAAACAAAGAGGGCACATTTTGAACAGTTATTCTGCTAAAGCTGAAAGCTGGTTGTGTTGTTCCTGACACAACTCTCATCCATATATACACGTCGCGGACTGTCCATGCTAATTATCGGCCCTGAATGAGTTAAGACTATTGATTGGATGTCTGAATCCTTCGCTGTGGCCACAGGGAGACGCCAAGATGTGAACTTTAAAGTGTATCGCGCACGTTGCAGTGGTGGCATGGCCTGGATCAATAACCTGTCAATCGGTACAAACATTTAAATCTACCAGGCTCAGTCCATGCAGGCTTAATTTGGCCAATTTAAGATCGTGATGACTTTACTTGCAAGTGTTTTGTTCTGTAGATGCAGGAACTGGGAGCAGATTGACATCATTGTTGAGTCATTTGGTTGACGTCAATGGACCTTTCTGGGAGAATATGTAGAGCTGTTGTGGAATGGTTTGGCGCCGTTTTAAGCATTATTTTCTACAAAATCATCAAGTTGATGTCAAGGAATCCTGATGTGATGCCTGCCGTTGATGTTTACTTCTTTGTCATGTTGAGAACAAGGTTGCATGGCTATGAGCTGATGAGCATCATAGTCAAGGCAAATCTGGGCTTCAAATTCTTGACAAGCGGATCCTTATGTAACAAGGGACAACTCTGCAGCTTGCAGTGATCACAATGCTTCTGTGTGTTCCATAAGGTTTAACTGATAAGATTGGTTGGTTGGTTGGTTCGATGTTTAACGCAGCACTCAGCCATATTCCAGCTATACGACAGCGGTCTGTAAATAATCGAGTCTGGACCAGACAATCCAGTGATCAACAGCATGAGCATCGATCTACGCAACTGAGATACGATGACATGTGTCAACAAAGTCAGTGAGCCTGACCACCCAATCCTGTTAGTCGCCTTTTACCACAAGCATGGGCTACTAAAGATCAATTCTAAATCGATAAGAAGCTGGTATAGAAAACACCATTTGTTGGAGGGCAGGGGCAGATACAGCTTTTTGAGAAAGGGGGGTGCACACTATTGAGAAAAGGAGGGTAGACCATTTTCACCCAGTTTCAATGGTCATTTAATAAACTGGACAGCGACCCCTGCACACCCCCTCTGATCAGGGGTTGTTGAGATAGAAAGAATTAGAAAATTGTAGACCCACAACATGATTACCGTCATTGGATGGTCACAGCTGTCATTTGGAAAGATTGTTAGTGATCTGGTTGATACAATCGGAAATTGTGGTTTCAAAATACTTCAGTTAAACTTTGTTTTATTTCATAATGACACGGATAGCTGTAACATTTTTGTTGTAAGGTATCACAGAACAGGTTTTGTTATGTTACCTGATTAACAGTACGAGCATCAATCAATTGGGAAACAATGACATGTGTCAACGAAGTCAGCGAGACCACCTGGTCCCTTTAGTTGCTTCTTACGACAAGCTTGTATCACTGAAGACCAATTCTAACCCGGATCTGTCCTCATGATGTCAGTCACTAGATAGCGTGGTCCAGACTTGATTATTCATAAACTGCTGTCATATATTTTAGAATATTGCTGAGTAGTGTGTGATACAAAACAAATGATTAAACAGTTCAGGGGTGGAAATAACTTTAAAATTGCTAGTGTACTCCGGTACAGTGGCACATGTAAAATCACTTGCCCCGATAAGTTTTCCACTATACCGGCCGTTTTCTTGTTGATTTTTTAAATAAACAACATAATTAACATTGGAAAGTCAACTGGACACTGGTACAGTGTGATA